CTTATGTGTAATTGTCTTTCTCTAATGACAATAAACGTTAACAAAATGAGAATATTAGAGTGCATCATGTGTGCCGAAGTATATCCAACATGCGATCCTAATTCTAAGTGTTATGTTTGGAGGCAAGATTGTTTTACATGCGCTCAATCTAGATGCGTTCCTGAAAATTATGATCAGGAAGGATAATGTTCATTTGTCTTTCATTTCCCTTTATTCTCTTGCATTTTGCGGAACTATATACTTAATATAGATTGATGGGTTAATATTCTGTAAATTATGACAGTTACAATCAAATTTATATCTGTTATGTAATTCTAATGTTAGAAGCCTGGAATGTAGAAAAATTATTGCATCTAAAAAAAAAAACCATTACTAAAGGAAATTATCATTTGGATACATGATGCATTTCATCGATTAGGCAAATCAGAATGTAACAAGGAAATTCATTTAACTTAAATTTCACTAAAAAACATTTTTCGTTCTAACGACCAAATGTTTTAGTACATAACCTATTACCATATTTCACTCTAATCATAACCTTAAAAATAGTTATTTATTTCGTTGAAAAAGTTTCAGTATTTCTAAGACTATGTATACTCTTCTTCCTGTGAATGAGCTGTACGTTATTTATATCCCTAAGATCACACATGGTTTTTCGTTTTGCATAACCTGGTGGTTCAAAATTCCGGTCTGCGATCGGATTTTTTTTTTTTTTAATCTACTGTAAAGTAATAGACTCATGTTCATATCTAAGGCCATGCAAAGTTGATTTTTCGTTTTGCATAGCATGAAGTCAGGAAATTGGATCAGCAATCAGATTTTTTTTATCTGCCCTATCAGATAATTCCGGGAAGTTAAGGTCTCCATCGAGTGGCACCAGATAAATTTATGGAAAAAATAAATAACAAAAAATAGAATGATTAACACAATTAGAACTTAAAAATATATATGTGTGTGAGCAATTGAAAAATGGGCCGGTAGGTTATGAAAAACGAAAAATTAACTTGCATGGTATTATCATGCTTAAGTACTCGGCATATAATAATTCATACGGTACCTTTCCTACGCGAATACTGTGAAACTAATTGGTCTAATGCATTTATTTAAACATTGTGAACCACGTTTTATACGTATGTAGTGCCCCAAATGTAAACTTGTCCCAATTGTCATTCAGGACAGCCCAGATGTCAATTTACCAAATTTTTATCTAAATGCTCAGTTAAATTATCAAGATAAATAAATTAATTTAGACCAGATTGACATCTGGAGCACAATAAATCGCAATATCAGTACGTACAATTTCAAATATGGCTATTTATATCGATTTGTGTAAATAAAATCAAATTTTAACTTACATGCGAACCGAGAAAAAATATAATATAAAAAGAGTTATTAGAAGAGATATCTAAAAAGAATAATAAAGAGAAATACCAAATAATAAAATTACTATACATCTTTAAAAAACATGAACAAGGAAAATTCAACTGAGTTTTTAAATATTGGACATAAGTATCAACATGGTTTTGGAGTAGAAAAAGATGAGAAAAAAGCGTTCGAATACTACAAAAAATCTGCAGATATGGGTAATGTTACAGGTACATTTAATGTTGGATATTGCTACGACGAGGGAATTGGGGTTGAAAAGGATGAACATAAGGCATTCATTTATTATCACAAATCTGCAGAGATGGGGGATGCTAGTGGAACATATATGGTTGGATATTGCTACGACAATGAAATTGGAGTTGAAAAGGATGAACATAAGGCATTCATTTATTATCAGAAGTCTGCAGAGATGGGGGACGCTGCAGGAACCAATCGTGTTGGATATTGTTATCAAAATGGAATTGGAGTTGAAAAGGATGAACATAAGGCATTCATTTATTATCAAAAATCTGCAGAGATGGGTGACGTTGATGGAACATTTCGGGTTGGGCAATGCTATTTTTATGGAATTGGAGTTGAGAAGAATGAATACAAGTTTTTTATCTATAACCAAACATCAGCAGAGATGGGGAACGTTGTCGGAGCATGTAATGTTGGATATTGTTATGAAAATGGAATCGGAGTCGAAAAGGATGAACATAAGGCATTCATATATTATCAAAAATCTGCAGATATGGGGGATGCAAACGGAACATATGCAATAGGTATCTGTTATCAAAATGGAATTGGCGTTGAAAAGGATGAACATAAGGCATTCATTTATTATCAAAAATCTGCAGATATGGGGTACGCTCGCGGAACATATATGGTTGGATATTGTTATCTTAATGGAATTGGGGTTGAAAGGGATGAAAATAAGGCATTCATTTATTTTCAAAAATCAGCAGAAATGGGGAATGCTGACGGAGCATGTAATGTTGGATATTGTAATGAAAATGGAATTGGTGTTAAAAAGGATGAGCGTAAGGCATTCGTTTATTATCAAAAATCTGCCGAGATGGGAAATGATA